ATTCTAAACCCTATATATAGTCATTCTAAACCCTTACTCTTTCACTCCTCAATCTTCTTCATTCTCCATTATTTTCAAAAGGTTACGTATTATTTTCCAATTCTTCTTCATTCCCATATTTTGATTCTCTGTGTCCATTTTAATACAGATTTTGTAACAGGTCTAAATAGTAACATCAATGGCGCGACCGATTGCAGCTGTGAAAGATATCAACGACTCAAACATTTAATTTTGCTGACATGTCAATGTATCATAATTTTACACTATTTTTTATTTATTTGATTTATTAATTTATTTTATTTATATTTGAATTTTATTTATATTTGAATTCCAATTCCAATGTTTCATTCACGGTTAATTTATTTATATTTGAATTCCAATGTTTTTTTTGACAGAATTTGAATTCTAATGTTTGACTCACGGTTAATGAGGAAGGAATTGGAATGGCCAAATTAGATCTATTATAATTAAATGGAATATTATTCATTGCATGATTTAAAAATACCCACTATTTATCATTATACTACAAGATTAAATGTATATTATTGGAATTAGAATGGATTATTTTGATATTCCAAGATATCACAACTTCCCATGCATTCTAAACCCTATATATAGTCATTCTAAACCCTTACTCTTTCACTCCTCAATCTTCTTCATTCTCCATTATTTTCAAAAGGTTACGTATTATTTTCCAATTCTTCTTCATTTCCATATTTTGATTCTCTGTGTCCATTTTAATACAGATTTTGTAACAGGTCTAAATAGTAACATCAATGGCGCGACCGATTGAAGCTGTGAAAGACATCAACGACTCAAAGGATTTGTGGAAGATTGCTGTTCGTTGTAAACATATGTGGATTGTGACAAGTTCATCCAACAAACAACACTTGGAACTGATTTTAGTTATTATACCGATTATGAATTGATAGATGAGGTGCTTGACAAACCAACTGTGAAAGAATCTATGCTTACGGCATGGATGGAAACAAACAAAGCATACCCAGAGGCAAAGAATTTGAGTACTCACAATTCTTTCCAAATTTGTTTATGATAAAAGATACCGTCGATGGAGACCGCGTAAAAGAGGAAATACAATTGGCAGACTTATTTGGGTCCCTCCAAGTACGGGTGAGTTATATTTCTTGAGAATGATGCTAACAGTCGTCAAAGGTCCAACTTGCTATGAGGATATAAAATTTGTGGGTGGAAAAGTTCAGGATTCTTTTAGGGATGCATGCTTCGAAATGGGCTTTCTTAACGATGACAAGGAATATGTTGCAGCCATCGACGAAGCAAAGAATTGGGGTTCCGGGCATTTTTTACGAAAGTTATTTGTCACTATGTTACTATCCGGTACTGTCAATAGACCACGACATGTTTGGGAAAAAACTTGGAGGACGTTATCTGATGGTATCCTCTACCAACAAAGGCAAAAAACAAATAGAAGAGGTATGAACACTTTATTAAACTTTTTTAAGTCAACAAATATTATTTTCCGAATGCAAGTTGTATCTTTTTTTATTACAAAAATATAATGATATGAACTTACTTTAAAATATAATTATTCTTCATCCATATGTCCCTTATTTAATATGTTTCATAAGGTATGTCCATTTACGTAAGAAACATTTTCATATTTGTCATTTGTCATGTATGTAAGTTATTTTCTTAACTTGCAGCTGCAACAATGTCTTTGGTTCCATTTAATTTCACGCAGCCGCAACATCAACTGTTTGATTTATGTTCAATGTATTTCAACATCACGACAGCAGTTGCATCATACATATGTAATTATATAGAAAACTAATGAAATTTTTTTAACAGAATTGCAGCTATCGGACAATGAGTTAAAGAATCTCACACTAATTGAGATTGAGAACATGATGCAATCGAATCGAAGAAGTTTGCATGAATTTAAATGTATGCCGTATCCAGATTCATACATCACAAAACATGTTGGCAATAGACTTATTTATGACGAACTTAATTACGATGCCGATACCGAGAAACAGAAATTCCAAGAACTTTTTCATGCCCTTACAGGTGATTTATTTTCTTTATACTATGAATTACAAAAATGATTTTTATTGTCCTTGCACTTATAATTCTTGGTTTGTATTTTATAGATGAACAACGTTTGATATTTGAGAAAATCATGGATGCTATTAACAAACAGAGTGGAGGGGTATTTTTCTTGCATGGTTACGGAGGGACTGGTAAAACTTTCATGTGGAGAACACTATCAAGTGCACTTCGTTCTCAAAAAAAATTGTTCTTACTGTTGCTTCAAGTGGGATAGCTTCGTTATTATTGTCGGGTGGAAGAACAGCACACTCAAAGTTCAAAATACCTGTGCCAACGCTTGACAACTCAACTTGCAACATCGACAAAGACACCGAACATTCTCAATTATTTGAAGCAACGGATGTGATAATATGGGATGAGGCACCTATGTCTTACAAGAACTGCTTCGAAGCATTGGATAAAACCCTTAAAGATGTAATGAGCAAAAAGGGTGTTGAGAATACTATTTTTGGTGGAAAAGTTGTTGTATTTGGAGGAGATTTTAGACAGATTCTTCTTGTTGTTCCAAGAGCTGGGCGTTCTGATATTGTTCATGCATCAATTAGTTCATCTTATGTATGAGATTATTGTCAGGTTTTAACACTATCAAAAAATATGAGACTTCAAGAGGGAAGAGACAACACAAGTTCTAATGAACTAGCAGAATTTTCAAAATGGATTTTAAATGTGGGTGATGGTAAGATTTGTGAACCCAATAATGGTTTGGTTGATATTGAAATTCCTCAAGAGCTATTAATATCAAATTTTGATGATCCTATAAGAGCAATTGTTGAAAACACACATCCCAATTTGTTGGAAAAATATCAAGATGTTGAATTCTTACAAGGAAAGGCTATTCTTGCTTCAACCATTGAAGTTGTGGACAAAATCAATCATTATGTATTAGACTTGATACCAGGTACATGTGTTTTATATTTACTGTATTATTACATTCATAATATATATATATATATATATATATATATATATATATATATATATATATATATATATATATATATATATATATATATATATATATATATATATATATATATATATATATATATATATATATATATATATATATATATATATATATATATATATATATATATATATATATATATATATATATATATATATATAAGAACATAGTTTTACTAATTTATTTATGTTTTGCTTTTAAACTTTTTTTTAGGAGAAGAGAAAGAGTACTTGAGTTTTGATTCCATTGATAGAACAGATTCAAGTTATACTGAAGCATATGAAGTTCTAACTCCTGAATTTCTCAGTAAATTAAGAACGTCAGGGCTTCCCAATCATAGGATCAAATTGAAGGTTGGTACACATATTATGCTAATGAGAAATTTGGACCAAGCCGATGGGTTGTGCAACGGAACAAGATTAATTGTTACAAGATTTGCAAATCATGTCATTGAGGCAAAAATCATGTCTGGAAAGAACATAGGTAACATTTTTTACATTCCACGAATGTCTATGTCACCTTCTGATTCACCTTGGCCATTCAAGTTGATTAGGAGACAATTTCCGATTATTGTCTCCTATGCAATGACAATTAATAAGTCACAAGGTCAATCTCTTGATAGTGTTGGATTGTATTTTCCTACTCCTGTGTTTAGTCATGGTCAATTATATGTTGCAATTTCAAGAGTTAAGAGCAAAAGTGGGCTAAAAATCCTAATTCATGACAAGGAGAATGTACCGTGTTCTACTACTACTAATGTTGTGTACAAGGAAGTCTTTCAAGCACTTTGATAGTTGGTAAACTTTATATCTTATATTTTACGATTCAAATTAAAAATCTATTTTGAATTAAAATATATAGTATGTACATTTTCCATGTATTTCAAGAAGTATATAATTTTTCCTATTTGTTCATGCAGACGTGATTTGTTGATAGGACCGACGCTTGCTACAAATATGGAGTAAAATGCCAACATGGTTTACATGAGACATATACTCAACTGAAAATATGATAACATACTTAATAATTTAATAATCTATAAATGTAATGTGAATCCAGACGAGACCCGTGCGATAGCACGGATTTGTTACTAGTTATTTTAAACCGTTGATATATACTAACTTTTTTTTAACAGAACCATCTATATATATCAATTAAAATTCATTGAATATTAATTAATTAGCCGTCGTTAAATAAAAAAGACAATCAAGAATGGATTGACATTAAATGAAGAAGTTTAAAAATCTCAATTCATTGCATCCCAAAATATGATTAAGCAAAACTTAATTAATACTATTAATAACCAAATATAAGATTTTGAAATTTTGTTGTCTAATTCACGAAATTAAATAAGTTAGTAATAAAGGTAAATTTATTAAAAAAATCATATTATTTTTCATATTATTATTTTTCCACTTTCCAGTATAATATATTTAATACTTAAAATAGTAATTTTATTTTTGTTTAACTGATATTAAAATTGTTATTGTTAAGATAACATTTTTAGTATAAATATATGTGAGATGAAAAGGGTGTTAAGGAAGTTTGGAATTAATATTCTGTTATTATTTTTTGTTATAAAATAACGTGAATTGAATTAATTACAGTGAATACACATAGTGAAAATAGAAATATTTTTAAATGAAATCCATTCAATTTTTATCTTTCCAAATGAAAAATTCAATTTCAAAATTTATCAAATATTTGACTATATTAGTTGTATCATTAAAATCATCCATATAAGATTTCCAACATGTCACTGACTAATGAAAAATGTTGATTAAAATAAATATTTTATAATATTTAAAATTAAATATTTCCTCCATTGATGTTTTACCAAAAACAAATAGTGGTAATAAAACCTCTACTTCTATTCTTTTTCATTCACAAAAAAAAAAAAAAATTCATATCATTCTACTTGATTTTGTGTAAAGTCACAAGAAATATGGATGGTCAATGCAATCCATTACACATATTCTTCTTCCCTTTCATGGGTCAAGGCCATATGATACCTGCCATTGACATGGCCAAACTCTTTGCTTCAAAAGGTGTTCAATCCACCATTGTCACTACACCTCTCAACAAACCCACCATCTCCAAAGCCATTGAAAACTTCAAAAACCATTCCAACAATATTCATATTCAAACCATCAACTTCCCTACTGTAGAAGCTGGTTTACCCGAAGGATGTGAAAATGTTGATTTAATCCCTTCACCTCTTTATGCTCCTGCATTCTTCAAAGCTACTAGATTGCTACAAGAACCCTTTGAAGAACTATTGCTTCAGCAACAACCACATGTTATTGTTGCTGATATGTTCTTTCCATGGGCAACTCATTCCGCTGCAAAATTCGGAATTCCTAGGATTGTGTTCCATGGCACTAGTTTGTTTTCACTCTGTGCTTCTCAGTGTGTGAAAAAACATGAGCCTTACAAAAAAGTTTCTTCTGATACAGAACTGTTCTTGATTCCGGATCTTCCTGGTGATATCAAAATGACAGTTTTGCAGATGCCGAGTAGAGTCACCAAACACGATCCCGTAAGCGAAGGGTTTGCGAAATTATTTAGAGAAATAAGGGAATCTGAAGAGAAGAGCTATGGAGTTATTGTTAATAGTTTCTATGAGCTTGAAGGTGTTTATGCCGATTTTTATAGCGAGGTAGTCGGATTAAAAAACTGGCAAATAGGTCCATTATCAGTTCATAATAGACATAGTAAGGAAGAAGAAATAACATCATACCGTGGGAAAGAAGCAAGTATTGACAAGCACGAGTGTTTAAAATGGCTTGACACGAAAGAGATCAACTCAGTTGTTTACTTGTGTTTCGGAAGTACAACAAACTTTCTCGACTCTCAGCTTAGAGAAATCGCTATAGGACTCGAAGCGTCCGGGAAAGATTTTATCTGGGTTGTGAGGAGAAAGAAAGAAGAGGTGGAAGAATGGCTACCAGAAGGATTTGAGGAGAGAATGGAAGGAAAGGGACTGATTATAAGAGGTTGGTCACCACAAACGTTGATTGTTGAGCATGAAGCAATAGGGGCATTTGTGACACATTGTGGATGGAACTCAACATTAGAAGGAGTGTGTGCTGGTGTGCCTATGGTTACTTGGCCTGTGGCTGCTGAGCAGTTTTATAATGAGAAGTTGGTGACTGAGGTGCTTAAGATTGGTGTGCCGGTTGGAGTTAAGAAATGGGCTGGGTTGGTTGGAGATAAGGTTGAAAGGGATGCAGTGGAGAAAGGTGTGAGGAGGGTTATGGAAGGGGAAGAAGGAAAAGAAATGAGGAAGAGGGTGAAAGTGCTTGCACAAAATGCAAAGAAAGCTGTGGAAGAAGATGGATCTTCTTACTTACAATTGAATGATTTACTCGAGGAGTTGAGTTCATTTAGAAAATTATTAGTGGATGATGACATTTAATCTCATATAGTTGGGATATTGTTTACTTAAGAATAAATTGCTTTCTTTCTTTCAATGGTTATTTATTTAGAGCAAGACTATATTAACACAACTTCTATATTGACATGGCTTTTGATACAAATACTTGCATACATTTCATTTTCTGTATTTATATGGACAACAGTATTTTTTTTACAAATAAATTTAAAAACTTTTTCTAAAAATAAATATGATAATCACGTGACAAAAACATATGGCTGGAGATGATATGTATTGTAGTGAAAGACTACATCTGAATGAATAAATTTTTATTAGAAATTAAAATTTATCATTTTTTAATAAGGATTAAAACTGAAATTAGAAATTGTAACAACAACAACAAACTAAGTGCAAAAAAATAGGAAACTAAATTGTAACAAAAAAATAGGTAACTAAAAACTACGAACAAGTAAAATAATTATTTATTTTTTACAATGGGAAAAGAAAAAAAAAACAAGAAATTATTTAGAAAATAAAATTTCATTAGCATCAGCTAACAAAAGAATAATTATTCTAACAGAATACTCAGTATACCACATTATTACTTGTTCCATGTTTTACTAGATAGTCAGCACACTCATTTTTCTTTTTAAGAGTATGGAATATTTGAACTTGTAATTCCTTAAAGAGAAGATCTTTAATATTGTGAAGAATCGTGACATAGTGATGTCAAACACTAACTCGTGGATACCCACCTGAAACTGTCTCAAAGTTGACGAAGAAAATCTGTTTTGATTGAGTTTTGGTATGAGTTTTTTCGATTATAAAATATAGGGATTGGTTGGACAATGGAGATATTAATATCCTCCCTCGAACCCACCTATTTATTTTATTGTGTCTTATTATTTAGTTGTTATTGTTTATAATATTAAATATGTGACTAATATTTTGAAATTTTAATTTGTATTTTTTATTTAAAATATTTGAAATGTATGTATGAAATATTTTGAGATTGTTTCATTTTATTATTTGTAAAGTAATCTAATTTTGAAAAAAAAAATCATTTCTATTAAAAATATTAATTCTCTAAATGGATGGTAGTGGGACAGAGAGATACCAGAACTCATTTAGGACGGATTTAGATTTTAATTCTCCATCTGTGTTCGGATTTTAAGCAAGGAACGAGAACTGTTTGGGGATTTGGATGTAATTTTGGGGAAGGTAAAACCCGTCTCCGATCTGCCCCGTTGCGATGTCTACTTGGTAGCAGAGTTGGAGTTAGAATAACACATAAGGTCTTTGATACCAAGTTCCCAGGCTATACCTAAACCATGATATAACGTCATCAACTCAGCATGAAGGATGTTGGAATAACCAATATTAATCATAAAACTCTGAACCCAAACACCATCAACATTTCAAACCAATCCACCAAAATCGGAGACGCCAAGATTACTGAGGGTACTGCCATCAACATTCAAAATCATATTATTATCTTTATGTGTATTCCAAGTGATCATTCTCGTTAGATAAGACATAATATGCTTGAGAATATTTAGCTTATAGATTAGCATAATTCAATGTGATGAGTTTCAAAATATAGGAAGATATCACTTCATTCAGAAGACATAGGTTATTCCTAGGACACCATAACCACCAACAAGAAACTAAAACGATAGAGCCACCATTGATGCCACGTCTAATCCAAGCATATAAATTACCCCTTGGAAGAATTGTTAGTCTAGTAAGTCAATAGATTTTCAAATGCGAGTAGCAAATTCACGGTCTTTCAAGTAGTATAGAATCATCTCAATATCCTAATTGCTTTTAGGATAAAGATTCGTCTAGAGCATACAACGATGACACAACATTGGTATTGAAGGAAGGGAACTATATAAAGTCGTTAAAAGGAAGAATTTCACCTTCTTAAAAGTAGGAATATGTCACAACCACTTTCAAGAGTTACTGTTTATTGTATTCAAAACAAATTTAATTCTGTTGAGGCAATTATAACCATCCCCAAACAGTATAATAATATATATTTTCTTTAACTTTTTCTAATAGGAATCACATTTCCAACATCCAAAGACACGTTTCAACACTTATCCTTATCTTGGAGGCTGCAAACTCCTATCCTTTTCCTCAAAAGTTTGAACTTGTTGAGTAGAGAAGGTTGATTGGCTGATAGCTCTTATAGTTAAATGAAAATATTTAACTACAACACTACCATCATCACCTTTCTCAGTTTCACATTCAATTTTCTATAACATTTTGTTTTTAAATTCTTAATCTCATAGAACATGAGCCACTTGAAGATTTGAAGATAAATAATTTGGAGCAGTTCTTGGGGATTACATAGGAGAGATGTTAGGAGATTGCATTTGATTCTTCTGGTTTGATCGATATACACTTAGTTCAACATCCTCGTCCGTAATACTTATACTTGGTTCAACTGAGAAAATATTGTTTTTATCAGAATCTATAGATGCATCATGATGCTCGGAATCCGAATCATCTTCAATCATGCTCTCCAGCATAATGTAATTTATCATAAATTCATAAGTCTTATATGAATATACTACTCTAAATTCATTTATCAGAAGTTATATCGATGATTTGTCCCCATTTGAATAGTTGGAATTTGAAGTTAAATTCTCTTCGTTGAAATTCAGCATCCAAAAAGCACATATAAAAATCAGAAAAATCAAAAGAAATAAAATACATGTCAATAAAATATAAAGATATGGATCTTATAGCATAGTCATATTCCAGATTCGTTCAAATTCACATATTCAAAGAATTCATAACTCGAGTGCATAACTCTAACCTGATTATTTCACTTAAACCATCAAACTTTGAGAGAAACTCAAACTAACCTGCAGAGAGGAACTATCTCGTCCTCAATCTCAGGAGTCCAAAGATACCACTCTATTTGTACAACTATGATGGGAGGAACATCATGTGCTCTCCTTATCGTATCTGGGCTAGCTTGAGATAGGCCAATATACTTCACTTTTCCCTCTTCCACCAGTTCACCAACATAAAACGGAACAAACATGTTAACAATGAATCAAGTAAAATCAGTCATATAATGCAGCATAGGAAGAATGATTAATTGTATCCTCAATAGGCAAAGGTGAATCAACTCGGGGTTGATAATAGAGATCAATGTACTCAACACCAAGACGAGCCAGCTTTGCAGCATGAGCCAACATACTCAGGCGAACCCTTGAACCACCTGCTCCCTAATATTTTCACATTTTTGTCAAAACAACATCGACCATCCATGAACCTAACAACAACACCAACAACAGAGACAATTATGCAAACATTTGGTGTGGTAAATTTCAGAAGCGCATCCTTCAAACCGATCTCACTTCCTGCAAACTTTATCAACTCAAATCCAACAACACAAATGCAATAAATAAAACAGAGAAACACAAGGAAAGAAGAGAAGTTTCTGCAGAGAAAAAGAGAGATACGGAACCACTGGATAAAATGCTTCACCGGTGCGAAACCGCTTCATACTCGCCGTCGTTTCTCGGCTCAAAAAACACTATGCTCACCGATGAAATCTCAATCACCACGGCGTCCACCTTTCCTCCGATTGTGTGAAATTGGAGATGATGATGACCTATTTATATATAAGTATTCATCAGGATTGCGCATAAATCAACAACAAATCGAAAACAGAGTCAAATAATTACGTGGAAAAGAGAAATCATTGATGAGCGTACACATGAATTGGCTGCTAGATGCATCCATAAACATTTATGATGCCATGAACAAGTATTGAAAAAGAGAAATAACTTATTTGTTGAGGAACCGAGATTGGAAGCAGAATTGAATGACAGTATAATTTTACACATAGCCCAATAATAATTGAATAGAAAACGGTCTGTCCATAAACTTTTTTGATTCTTTGGCATTAATAAGTAAATTAAAAGAAATAATAAAAAAACAAATAATATATATATATATATATATATATATATATATATATATATATATATATATATATATATATATATATATATATATATATATATATATATATATAGCATGGGATCTGTAAAAGTGACATATGGCCAACTTTTTCTAAAAAAATCCTTTTGCTTTATTCTATTTAATAAGATGTTTGCTATTTCCAATTCTGACTCATTTTACTTTGGTTCCTTCCAAATGCTTGACTAAAGCTTTGTTGTAAGTCATATGGTTCGTGCAACCACTATCAATCAACTAAGATTCACATGAATTGTTGGTGGAAAAACTTGTTGTATCAAATAGATGTCTTCCTCCTCCTCCTTTTTTGTTGTGTATTTTCTGCTTCAATTTTAACTTGTTGGAATTTAACCCTACAAATCACATCTTCAGGACCAATCTTATTACACGTGTTGCACTTTGCATCTGTCCTTCTCCAACATATAAAGGGTGGGTGACTCAATTTTCTTGAGTGTTGACAAGGTGTGTAACTTTTCCTTTTATATTTTCCTCTATTATAATTATTTGTACCGTTTTCACTACTGGAGACATGGTTCTCCATTGAGTTTGATTGTTGGATCTTTACTGGTAAAGAACCTTCAATAATATGATCTTTCCTCATAAGCCTTCTCTGCTTATGGGCTTGCAAGGTATATATAACTTCAGATAAAGTTATCTTAGAAAGATCCTTTGTGTTCTCTAAAGAAGCTAGAAATGCCTCGTATCTTTTCGTCATTATAACCAAAATTTCCTCTACAACTCTGGAATTAGAAAACTTAGTGTCAAATAATCTAACCTTGTTTGCAATGGAAAGAAATATGTCTGAGTATTCTTTGATTGTCTCATACTCTTGCATTTTTAGAAACTCAAACTCCCTCGTCAAATTTAGCACTTGCATGCTTTAGATTCGCTCATCCCATGTATATTCTTACTTTAAATAGTGCCAAATTGCTTTTGGTATTTTGAAGGTCATGATTCTGGTGAAAACTATTTCTGAAACACCAACAAATAGACACGATCTTGCCTTTTCTTTGTTGTTTTTTTTCTCCTTGTAAATTTTTTATCGAAGCCATAGCTGAGTTATTCGGCAATGGAGAAACTTCACAATCCTCTTCCACAACTTCCCACATGTCCAGAGTTTCTAAATAAGCCTTAATTCTTACTGTCCAAAAGTCATAATTGTATCCATAAAAAATAGAAGGGACAACTTTTGAGAAACTTGATTAAAAATTCATTTCACATGTCCCTCAAGAAGAGAAATTTGAATACCAATTGTTATTTTCTATTTTGAATAAAATGAAAAAATGCAGAGAAGAAACATAAAAGAGAGAATATTAACGGCAAAGTTGTTTTATTTCTCCAAAAGCTAATATAGTTTTTTTTTACAAAAGCAAACTAAATTTATTAAATAAATATCATTCAATACAAGAAGGACTCAAATAAAGCACCGTGCGTCGAGACCAAGAATTACCTGACTGAGCTAAGCTATGAGCAATACAATTAGCTTGATGCTTAACAAACTTGACCTCAAAGTCGTTTCAAGAAAATTTAAAATTCTTAATACTATCAATTACCATACTATATTCATAGTTACTGGATGGAGTAGCGTGAATAGCTTCAGCCACTAATTGTGAGTCACTTTCAAAGATGGGATGATTCAAATTTAACGGGATTGCTCCTAGAATCGCTTCCTTAAAAGCCAATGCCTCATCTTCAACAATAGAATATCGACCATGATTCAACGAAGTACCTGCCACCCTAAAATCTCCATCACAGTCTCTAACGCACCACCCACTATTAGTTGTGCCAAGTCAATCGTTAAACTCCGCATTCACATTACATTTCAACCAACCTGTTGGAGGAGGTTGCCAAGTACTCTGATGCTGGATACTATTAGTCTCGTCCCCAGGCGACTCTTGGGCCAAGAACCAATCCTTCCACAAATGATAACCATGTGTGTCTAGGTGATTTGCATCTTTCTTCTCTTCATGCCAGATCCAGTTATTCCTATTATTCCATAACACCCAAGCTATGACGGCCACTATCCCTTCTACTTTAAGATCTTCCTTACTACAAATTTCTTGGATCACATCATGGGCACCGTTCATAATGGCAAATTGTGGCCTTATAATGTGTTCAAGCCTTGCAACACTCCAATAGTTATTCGATATGCACAACCGAAGAAAATGTGCCACTCGTCTTCCACGCCGACATTACACAACTGACATCTATGTGGCCAAGGAACAAAGTGTTGTCAGAGGTTTTTCCTAGTAGGAAGGCAGTCCTGACATAAGCGTCAAAGTATATGTTTAGTTTTTGGGGGCGCTTTAATTTTCCATAAACTCCATCAGTCACTTTCCATCCTTTTGTTTTTGAATTTATACTCCTCCTGCCACCATAGTTTATAACCTATTTTGACACTATAGATTCCATTCCGCTCTTCCTTCCAAACAATACAATCCTCCAAAATATCATCCACAAGAGAAACCTGTAAAATATTGTTAGCAATCTCTGATGAAAACAAATATACAATTTTGTTACGATCCTATTGTTTACGGTGAGGATCTATATGTTCCTGGACCGTTAAACTATAAACATGTTGCTTTTGTGGTGCTTCCAACCAACAACCCCTCTTCACCTCTCTCATCCATGGATCCAAAATCACCGCCGTCCTCGATCGTCCATTTACTCTTTAATAATAACACTTCCCGAATTTTCCAAAAACTCCTCCATACAAAGTAATAATGGATGAATACTAGTGTTCCATAAGACTAACTAATTATCCAACTAAAAAAAATTACTAATTGCAAATAAATAGGAAACTAACTTGTAACCAAAAAATAGAAAATTAAAAATCACTAACAACAAAATAATAGATATTTTACTTTGACTTATTCAAACTGAAATCACTTTCTCTGAAGACATGAGTCAATAAAATCATTTTTATCGAACTTGGATAAATAGTCTATGCGTTTTAATTCTCTATTTTTATTTAGTTTGTGATATGCATACTTTTATTTGATACTTTGAGTAGTTCTTGATAATGTTTAATTTTGGTTGTATGTTCTTTTGTCACACAAATTTAATTGCAATCTTTGAATTCAACACTAACAGAAGTATACCTTTTTGAAATCCAATATGCTTGGGGAGGAGATCCAAATCCATTTTAACTAGAGTCTATTCAAAATTTATTGATGATAAGATGTATATGATTAACTTGAAGCACACAACATGATGAACAAACAAACAAACATACATTAAGAGACAACATTCTATTTGCACACATTGACATTATTGTGCATGCGACCTCAAATCCTCAATTAAAGAGTTGAAATCATTGTAAGAAGATCCACCAACCTCCACAGCTCTTCTAGCCATCCTCCCAAATTCCTTTGCTCTATTTCTCATTTCCTCTGCTTCATCTCCAACCATGATCCTCTTCACTGCTTTCTCTACAACATCTTTCTTCACAGGCTCACCACCTCCCATTCCAATCCATGTTTGCACCCCAACACCAACACCAATCTTAACTATATCACTCAGAAACTTTGCATTATAAAACTGTTCTCCATACATAGGCCAAGTCACCATTGGTAACCCTGCACTCACTCCTTCCAATGTTGAGTTCCAACCACAATGTGTCACAAACCCTCCAACCGATTCATGGTCTAAAATCATCACTTGTGGTGCCCAACCTCTTATGATTAGCCCTTTACCACTTTCTTCAATTCTCTCCTCAAAACCTTCTGGTAGCCATTCCGGTTTTTCGCCTTCGGTTCTTTTACTTTTACCATCTTTCTTTACAACCCATATGAATGGAACTTCAGAAGCCTCAAGACCTATTGCGATTTCCTTAAGCTGCGCGTCTTTGAAAACCGTCATGCTCCCAAAACAAACATAAACAACTGAGTTAGGTTCTTTTGATTGAAGCCATTTTAAACACTCGTGTTCATCTATTGTTGCTTCTCTTCCTCTACATGCTTTTTCTTCACTGTCTCTTTTGCATAAAGAAACTGGTCCTAAATGCCAAGCTTTTCTTCCAAGCTCGTTTCTATAATGATCAGCATAAACCGGTTCGAGTTCATAGAAAGTGTTAGCAATCACACCAAAGCTTTTCAACTCTGATTCATTAGACTCTTCTAATAATTTAGTGAAGACTTTATCATGCTGAGGAAGTTGCGGTAACTGCATCTTCGTCAGCGTGATTTCTCCGGGAAGATTAGGAATAAGAAACGGTTCTGTGTAAGAAGAGACTTTATCTTGAGGTTTGTATTGTCTTGTACAAGCCAAAACACAGAGAGGGAAGAAACCTAAACCGTGAAACACGATCCTAGGAATATTGAACTTTGCTGCGGAATCAGTAGACCAAGGAAAAAACATGTCAGCAACTAAACAATCTGGTTGTTCTTGTTCCAGAACATGTTCTAGTGGCTCCCTTAGAAGCAAAGTGGATTTCATGAACTTGATGAACTTGTCTGGTGCTAATGCTGACTCGGAGTTTTCGCAACCTTCGGGTAAACCGGTTTCTTCGGGTGAAGGGAACTTGATGGTTCTGATGTTGATTTTGGCTTTTCCAATGGTTCTTGAAATGAGAGGTACGTTGAGATGAGTTGTGACTATGGTGACTTTGAGTCCTCTTGAAGAGAAGACTCTTGCAAGGTCTATGCATGGTATGATGTGACCGTTGGCTAGAAAAGGGAAGAAGATTATGTGAAGGTCTCGATTCTTGTTATCCATGGTGAGTTTGTGAGTTCTGGTTT